ACCCTATCCCTATATTTATTTTACTGGTATTTCAGAGACAGTGTGAGTGGAAACCCCCCAAGAGGACCGCATACACTATATTGCCAAAAGTATTGGGACCCCCCCCAAAAAATTCAGGTGTTCCAATCGCCTCCATGTCCACAGGTGTATAAAATCAAGCAACTAGGCATGCAGACTGCTTCTACAAACATTTTGTGAAAGAATGGGTCGCTCTCAGGAGCTCAGTGAATTCAAGCGTGGTACCGTGTCCATCCGTGAAATCTCCTTGCTTCTCAATATTCCACGGTCAACTGTTAGTGGTATTATAACAAAGAGAAAGCAACTGTAAACAACAGCAACTCAGCCACAAGGTGGCAGGCCACGTAAAATGACAGAGCGGGGTCAGAGCTTGCTGAAGTGCACAGTGCGCAGAAGTTGCCAACTGTCTGCAGAGTCAATAGCTACAGACATCCAAACTTTGTGTGACCTTCAGATTGGTAAAACAACAGTGCGTAGAGAGCTTCATGAAATGGGTTTCCATGGCCGAGCAGCTGCATCCAAGTCTTCACACTTCTCTGTCTAGCAATCCGATGGACATCTCGGTGTTTGACGGTTGCCAGGAGAACGGTACTTGCCTAACTGCATTTGACCAAGTGTAAAGTTTAGTGGAGGGGGGATTATGGTGTGGGGTTGTTTCTCATGGGTTTGGCTTGGCTCCTTAGTTCCAGCAAAGGGAAATCTTAAGACATTTTGGACAATTTCATGCTCCCAACTTTGTGGGAACAGTTTGGGGATGGCCCCTTCCTGTTCCAACATGACTGTGCACCAGTGCACAAAGCAAGGTCCATAAAGACATGGATGAGCGAGTTTGGGGTGGAGGAACTTGACTGGCCTGCACAGGGTCCTGACCTCAACCCGATAGAACACCTGTGGGATGAATTAAAGCGGAGACTGCAAGCCAGGCCTTCTCATCCAACATCTGTACCTGACCTCACAAATGGGCTTCAGGAAGAATGGTCAAACATTCCCATAGACACACTCCTAAACCTTGTGGACAACCTTCCCAGAAGAATTGAAGCTGTTATAGCTGCAAAGGGTGGGCCAACTCAATATTGAACCATATGGACTAAGACTGGTATGCCATTAAAGTTCATGTGTATGTAAAGGCAGGTGTCCCAATACTTTTGGCAGTATAGTTTATGTGTTAAAGTGATATTGGAGTCAGATTTTGTTAAAAACGATTACAAATGCTGATTAAATCACTTACAATGGATGCTGCCCATAATGTTTAAAAGTTTCCTGCAGAATCAGCCGGTCCCTTGAGCACTGAACCTGATATTGTGTATTAGGATGGCTTCTTTCCCTTGCAATGTTCTATGAAGCCACCCTTGTGTGTGCTAGTAAGCTGTGTGCACCTTCCTCAAACCCAGGCACAGCAAGGCAATCCTCTACCCTGCTCCCCTCCCCTCTCCTCTCTTCCCCAAGTTAGTAGATGGGCAGCTGCTGAATAAGGTGCTTTCCCTTCTGATCTTGTACTGGGCAGGAAGTTCAGGGAAGTATAGCTGAGAGAGTTAGAGAGTTAAACAGCTGTTTTGAAACATGATGACTGTAAGTGTTTGGGCAAAAATATTAAGATATTATTTGCTGGGCAATGTATACCGTGTTTCCCCCGAAAATAAGACGCTGTCTTATATTTTTTTTGGCTCAAAAAAACACACTAGGTCTTATTTTCGGGGTAGGTCTTATTTTTTTTTTTTTTAAGGTACAACAATCCACACTTATTCATGTACAACGGTCTACATATATTCATGTACAAAAATATGGTGATCAGGGCAATCAGAGGTGCTGTACCTTTCCAAGAGCAATTTACTAACCAATAGCTGGCCATAATGAGCGAAGCGCGCTTCCACTATAGATTCCTCACAGGCGGAGTGCATTTGGTATCACTCCATCTGTGACAGGAGTCGGCGTTATAGAGGAAGCATCAGCTTATGCGGCTCTGCTCCCTCGGCTGCTTCCTCGCTTCCTCTAGCGCTGGCTTCGTTGGCACCGCTGATTCTCTCCTGGCTCTCCCGTGGCTCTTCATGTTCCCCCTTATGCCACCATCGGCCCTGGGAATGGTCACAACTAGGTCTTATTTTCAGGATAGGTCTTATATTTTAGCAATTCCCAAAAATAGTACTAGGTCATATTTTCGGGGTAGGTCTTATTTTCGGGGAAACAGGGTATTTGATCTGGATTCATTACTGAAAAAAAGTTTATTACTACTTTTAAACCGTAGTATCTCACTTCTCTTTCATATCTTTTAATTAATTTGTGCAACTGGCTGAAGCAATTTCTCAAAACCTTCACACAACTATGTGAAAGCTGAATTCTAGTTTTAGCATAAATCCTAATGGCCTTCTTGCTACTAAATCTGCTGAAACTTTGACAAGATTCCCCACCTTCATCTATTGCAAACTGTTGTGTATTCTCAAGCAAGTAGTAAAGCTGATTTATGAATAATATATCATTTGTAGAAAAGACGATAGTTTATATGGCATACACTGTCAACAGTTTGCAGACTTACACCAGTCTTAATCCTTAACTGAAAATATAAATTAGTTTGAAACATTACTTGCCTGGCCAAATATTTCAAGGTCTTAATCTATAATGGCATAACTGAATTCAGACAAAAACAAATTTAAAGGAGAAGTAAAGCCAAACCTTTTTTTGGCTTTACTTCTCTTTTAGAGAGTAGGAGTAGTGATGGGCTGCATGTTTGAATCGAACATAGCCCGTTCTAGCGTTCGCAGAAACGCCGAACATTGCGGGATGTTCACGGTCTGTTCGGCCGCGGAACATCCCACAATGCACTGCGCCCTCCGAAACTGTAATTGGCTACAGTCTTGCACCTGACCGCAGGTCAGGTGCAAGACTGTGCCAATTAGGGCTCAGTACACATTTAGAGCCATGATTGGGCAAAGTCATGATGACTCTGCCCAATCATGTCTCACAGTTAAGTCCCTGCAGCCCACTATATAAGGCTGCTGACACCGCGGCCCTATGTAGTGTGTTGTAGGATATAGAGAGATAGAGAGAGTTATAGAAAGATAGATGGAGATACATCTAGAAAGAGATAGATCTCTATCTATATATAGATATATATAGATAGAGATCTATATATAGATATATATATATAGATAGATATCGATATCTATATATATGTAGGCACTAGTTGGCACCAAAGGCCCAATTTTAAAGCACCTGTTAGTTTCATCCAAAGCCTGCAAAAGAGGCACCATAATTTATCCCAAAGCCGCGCTGTAGCTGGGAAGTATCCTGACAATATTGTTGGTTCGGCAAACTAATCGATTTTGATAATAATCGTTAGCTGCAGCTCTAGATCCACCCAGCTGCCTGATTGACAGCTGTCTCTGTCTCTCTAGAGCTAGAGCCAACTGTACCCATCACCTTTTGCATCTGTTCCTCCAGTGAGAGCTGGCATGTGAAAGCTGCAGTGTCCCTCGCTGTAGTGTTTTCACTCTAGGTCAGGTAGTGTGTTGCTGGCAGGATCACAGAGTAAAGGAAAAAGGCTTTAAAATAGAATGCCACACCGCAAGAACCTGTGGGATGCAACATATTGCATTTTTTTTTGGTTTAGTTATACTTTGAATAAAGATAACTGGACACACACTGTACCATTAATGGATAAAATGTGCAATGCTTTACTTGGTTGCATTTAAAAAAATAAATCCATTACATTATACTCACAGACTGCATAGAGAAGTTAGGTAGATGGGAGACAGCCCAGACCGCAACATTTCGTACCTTGCAGCACTTTGCCAAGATTTGACAAAAGTGTTAAAAGGCATGACACAGGCGTCCACTTACCTTTTCTTACAACAGAAAACAATTCGGGATACCAGAAACCAACAGAAAAACCAGCTGCACAAGATGAATGCCTGGTTGAAATTTACAACTGCCTCTCAGGCTTTGACTTCTTAAGCTGCCCATACACCTGACGATTATCGCACGATAATCGCGGGTGATCCTGCGATCATACGATAATCGTAAGGTGTATGGGCAGCGTGCTTCCGCATATACTGTAAGTTCGCACAATTTTCGACGTACAAGCACGCTAGAAAACCCACCGAAAATCGTACGGTTTTTGGCTGGTCGGTAGCGCGATTGCAAGACGAAAGCCGCACGGGCCGATGTGCGCAGGCGCACACTGCCCGCTCACCATTGCAATCATCTGTAAGCCCTCCCCCCAGTGGGGAGGACTTGCGATGATCGCAAGTACGATCTGCCTGTCCAAGATGGGCAGTTCGTACGGAATTTTAATTACCTTACAACCATCGCACAACAAAAGTCGTGTGATGGTTGTAAGGTGTATGGGCAGCTTTAGGGCACACCAGTAATGTACATGCTTTTAACATGTTGCATTAAACAGCTTATTCCGAATGAAAGCTGCACTAGGCACTAAATCCGGATATGCTGCATTTTTCTCAACATAGCACATCACAGTGCATCAAATCTCGAGTGTTGCAGTGCATTGTGTAGGTGCATTATGGTGCCATTCGAAATTAATGGCAGTGCATTGCACTCTGCTTGATGCATTACTGTGCTTTGAGGCAGCAATGCACTGGTGTGAATGGTAACTTACTTCAATTAAAGGCAATATTTTAATGTATCATTAGTGTCCATTCGAACGGAACACCGCAGATAGTATTTTACATTACTGATCTTAAAGTTGTTGTCTTGGTGACAGCGTGTCTAGTAAAGACATAAGTGCTAAAAAGAATGAAAATATATCAACTTTGCTTTTTTGTGTGTGCACTGTTCTAAAATGGGCATGAGTTTTTGTAGACACTATATAAGCAAAACAACTCCATTGCAAGTAGAACACTATCTTTACAAATGATAAGTATGTATTTGCCCACTGGGAATATATCTCAGTGGAAGAAACTTCTTGCTTGGAGTTGTTTGTCTTTATACGTCACTATACACGTTAATGATAATTTCTCTGTTTGTTTTAGCTGATGTCAGTATGTGTTTTGGGGGTTTCTGCATGGATGAGAGACTACATAAATAATGTACTCACGCTGACAGCGGAAACAAGGTAAGCACTCCTAATCAAACAAACTGAAGCATAAAAAGAATAAAAACGTAATTCTATGATAATCTGTATGCTAAGAAGAGCTTTTGCGTTTTCTTTTATTTAACATATTGAATAGTTTAGTTCAGGCATATTCTGCTTGAAATACTCCATGCTTAGCTTAAACTGGCTTTGCACAGTAGTTAGGAATTGCACGGCGATGGTCTGTTTGCTTTGATCATCTCCTTTCGTCCGTGTCGCGGAAAATTGTTTTCTGTTTACTTTTCCTACATTTCTAAGGTGCAGACTAATTGACTGTATCTAATTGCAGTTTCTAAGACATACCGTACATTTAACCTCAAGTCAATCCATTTACTGCAGCAGGAAATAACATTTGTGCATAGTAGCATTGGATTTGCATGTGTAATAAATACGGTTAATAATTAAATGCACACATAAAAATAATGTATTCATTAAACAAGTAGCATGCTTTGCAGTTTAAAAATATGCAAATTCTTTATCTGATTAGCTATGTTTGCTCCAAACATCCCTACTGCTTTAACTCCAGTAAAGAAATACATGAATATATTAAATAGAAAATATAAAGTTCCAGATTGCAAGATCGTACATGTTAGGAGCAGGAATCGCTTTGTGGGTAATGGCTTGTGTATTGGGGACTTCCTAGAAAGGGTTCTTAGTATATATTAGACAGTATAAATGTTGATTCCCTCCAAATCTGAATGATTTATTTTGTAAATACGTATATGTAAAGTGTTCAACCTAACACTCAAGGTCTCTACTATGCAGATGGACTTGTGTGGATATGATGCACTGATTCTATTTGCACTAGTCCATCTAGAGTTGGGAGAAAAACTCTAGGAATGACCGGGTTTTCTGCACAAATGAGCATGATCTGATCCTTATCATAAGAGAGTGGGCTGTTGTTAATTTTACCCATGCAGTACCACCCCGCCCCCCTCCCCCCACACTGCATGGTTAAATGCTAGTTTGGCTAGGGGGCAAAGGAATACATTAAAATACTTACATTACTCCTCACTCCTGCAGGCTTCCTCCTCTCCATGTGCCCCGAAGCCTATTCACTTTGCTGGTCAGTCACAGCTCTCTAATGTCAATGCTGGACCAGCTGTCCTACATGGTGCACAAAATCTCCAAGGCCCTCCCTACAGTACTGTGGAAAAGTTTTAGGCAGGTGTAAAACAAATGCTGTAAAATAAGAATGCTTTCAGAAATATAAGTGTTAATAGTTTTTTTTTTTTTATCAATTAACAAAATGGAAAGTAAATGAACAGAAGAGAAACCCAAATCATATCAATATTAGGTGTGACCTTCATTTGCCTTCAAAACAGCATCAATTCCTCTGGGCACACCTGTACACAGTTTTTGAAGGAACTCGGAAGGTAGGTTGTTGCAAACATCCTGGAGAACTAACCACTGCAAGGGTAAATTTAACAACAGCCCAGAGTTGGGATTTAAAAAAAATAGTTTAACATTGGTATATATTTATGGGTCTAGTTGCTTAAACAATCAAGGTCTCTGATTGAAAAATTATGTGAGCCTCTAGGTTAATTATATTTTGAAGAATGTAAATTTGACTTGCACTGTGCAACCAATGAGACAGTGTTCCTGTTAGTTCAGGAGTAGGTTTGACCTACCTGCTCTATGTAAAAAACACATTTTGGTTACCTGCCCTTTACAACAGAATTTTGCTTATGTGCAATATGGCCCAGAGGACCTTTAGAAGAAGTTTAACCTTTAGAACAGTTTAACCACTTAAATACTTTAAAGAGCACAAAATAAGTCTTTAAGGGTTGTGATAATAATCAGAACACATCCTTGCAGATACTTGGCACTGCTACTCTTCACTTGAGTTGCTATTTTAGTTTGAGGCCATGCTAAATAGCCTTCAAACAGATAACAAAAAACTTAGGTGAAAACTTAAAGAAGAATTCCAGGAAAATATTTACCTTAGCAGTGGGGCTGCCCCCACACTGCAGGGTTAACTGCTTGTTTATTTCTAGGTTAAAAAAAAAAATAGTACTATTCATCTGATCCTAAAAGCTGGTTTGTTCTGAGACCTGTCCTTCCAGCCTCTCTTTCCCTCTGCCGGGTCTAAGGTCCCATAAATCATCAAGTCTATAGACATGAGGATGCTGAGAAAGATTCCAATGCTGCAGCGTAGGAGGAAAAAGGCTGGAGGGAGCTCTGTGACAGCTGGCCGGCTCGCAGCTTTGGTATAACTTTATTATTTGAAACTAGAAAAAAAACGAGCACTTAACCCTTACAGTGCGAGGGTAGCTACGCTGCAATGGATAAAAAAAAGGTTTTCCTGGAGTTCTTCTTTAAGTCTGCCTATACTTGCCCCAGCTCCAGTGATGCAATGTCTGCAAGCTCTCTTGCCGGCGCGGACATCTTCATCTGGTCTTTCAGGTTCAGAATCTTTGGTTTCTCTGGCCATTACGGGCAGAACCTGAGTTAATTCGTCCTATCACCAATGAATGCTGCAAATTTGCAATAATTGTACATATAAGTGTACATTCTGAGGAAGTTTGCAAGTAGGAAGAAAATACGTAGTATAAAGCAATGCCATCAAATCAGTACTAATAAGTACATGAATGAGTGTTGAGAAATCGTGTTGACGCCAAACCTTAAATGGGAGATTGACATAGCTAACAGTATTGTAAGCAAAAAAGTAGGAATGTGTTACGTAATGGCCTTACAAGTCAATTTTGGCACTACTTTTCCTAATGAATATTGTGAAACACAACCTGTCTTTTTTTCCATGCAGAGTGGGAATTACAGGCATTCTTACAATGTGTTCTTATCAGTTATTAAATATAAGGGATCACTTTTTTCTTTCATTTACTTTGATTTTAGTAATAATTTGTTGTTTGATAGATACGATTGCATTAATTATTATAAAGACTTAGATATAGATGCACACACATTTATTAGCCATTCCTGCACAGATCCAGAAATCCTCCTAGAGCCCATTCACGCCAAGGCAATCTCTTGATGTGATCTTGACACACATGCACCAAAGCACGTTGTGTTAAGGCAGGCCATTGATCTGAATGGGCTGCCAACGCAACACAACGGACCAAAAATCAGATCTGCACCATTTTGATAACAGTGTAAAAATCACAGCCATGCATTACCATGCATTATGGTATGCTGTAATGCAGGTGTGTTCCCTTAGTGCATGTCTAGTGCATTGCTGTAATGCATAGGTGTAAATGAGCTCTAAGTGTTCATCTTTTTTTTTAATGCAAGAAATGATAATACTCTGACAATTTAATAACTTTGTTGCACTGCTGGTTAATAAGTTAATGTTTTCTTGTTTTAACATGTGAAATACTGAATACAACATACAGTATATATGTAGCTGTCCCTGATTTGATTGTAAACAATGTCAGGTGATCAATATGACATTGGTTCCTAATAGTTGTATCTGACAGCAACCACTGTCAGATACAGCACTGTAACAGTTCTGCTAAGGGGATGTTTATTAAATTAAAGACCTTGTGTACTGGCCATAGCAACCAATCAATGCCTCTTTTCCTGCATTTTAGGTATGAAAATAACAATTTGCTTACCATATAACATCTAAAGATTATTCACCATAAGTGGTGATTGAATACATGTTTACTCTTACAGGTTATTAACTAATATAAAACTGAAACTTGCATGTGTCTAGGGTGGAAGAAGCTGTACACCTCATCTACTTCCCTGTGTTCCATCCAGTGATGGTTGCTGTCTGTTGTTTCCTCATCATTGTGGGCATGCTGGGTTACTGTGGAGCTGTGAAGAGCAACTTGATACTTCTTGCCTGGGTAAGAAAAGATTTATTCCTTCAACTACATTTACAAAATGACAGGGATATATCATAACTATTCTGATATTAAATAGTATTTCTAAATCCATGTTTGTATACTTTCTTCATTATAAATTAATATGTTTTCAAATGGTTTTTATCTACATTTTACACTATATGAGTTTCAATTTTATTGTAAACAATTGGGTGCTATATGAAAAGCACTGTTCTGTTTCAGATTTCAGTACATTTCTGCCAAAGACCAGAGGTGACATAGGTAATTTTTTTGATAAGTCAAAAGCCACGTAAACACCATTTTTACCACTAGATATCATTACTCTGAAGTACTTTGTAAACTGTGTAAATATTTCCAACTCTAATCCTAGAATTCAGTAGACAACCCCCATACCTCATCTCTATGGTTTCACTCTTCTGTTCTTGGACTTTTCTACATTCAGTTGGTGCCCCAGGCCAGTAAGCAGGCACATTCAGAGGGGAATTGTGGGGAACTGGTTGTTTGTTTTTGCTAGTAGGAGAATCAGCTGGACTCTAATGAGGTATAAGATGACATAGAGAGTAGCAAATTAGTAGGGCAACACACTGAAATCGAGTCCTCAGGTTTAATGTTTTATGTATTAATTAATTAAGTTACAAGCTTCACAGCTGTGATGGGGTGGAAAGGGTGTACAGCCTGTGTTGCCTGCTACTGAGAGAGGTCCAGCATTTATTGTTGACATTTATTACTTAAGGATGCAGACTTACATATGCAGGGGTCACAGATAGCTTCTGTTGCAAGCACCATATGATTGTCATCACAAACTATAACATAACATATAATGGACACGATAATGCCATTGCAGCAATTGTATACTCATGTTACATATTAATTTCTTTTTTTTATAGCAGTTTGGCACTACAGTGCTACAGTGCTGAGTACAGTGCTGCTTGGATATTTTCTGTGTATTTCTGAGAGATTATCTAGAGTTTAGAGTTGGCAAATGTCATCCTGCAGAACAGAGATTAGGCAGCTGTGTTAAGCTTCCTTCTCTGGGCTTTAGTGACCTCTGCCCAGACGCATCATTACATTAATTTATTGTGTGCAGATAAGAACTAATTTATATTTTGTGTTATCTGGCTTCCTTTTCCTCTGAGAAGTAGCAGGCAGCCCCCCTCATCGTTACACTACTGATGTACAGACCTAAATGTATTGTAGATATTTAGTTGAACTTGACTCAATATAGCACAGTTTTTTAATAAACTTCTATCGCTCGTCAATGCAATGTAGTTAGTTGAATACTGCAGTATGAATTTTATTTTTTTTATATTACAACTGAATACCATTTTACAGATGCCCAGTATCACTTGGATATGACTCACTATATTTACAGCTGTGACTGGCTCAAAAACAAAAGAGTACTATAGCTGTTAAATATACTGTCCTTTCACTGTGCTACTACTATAACCGAGCCTTATAAGATGCAGGCACTATGGTTGCTTTATGTTTGCTGGCATCTCTAAACATAAAAACCTCTATACTTTGAAAACTTTGAGTTAGCAGACTTTTACACTGCTATGAACGTCTCAGAGGCCATGGAATTTTTTTTATTTTTTTTTAAGCAAGTACATTTTTATTAGGAATTTGTCAATACAGAGGTAACAACATGGCAACAATCAAAAGGTATTGTTAAATAGCTGGTTAGTGCATAAAAATAATATACAACAGAGTAAGATCAAAAATAATAAAATCCTATGACAGTTGTAGGTAACCAAGTATGTCAAAGTATGCATTTAGGCAATATATATAAAATAGGTATGTACAATAAAAATCTAAATACTCACAACTCTAATAATCAAGCATTGCCTGTAGAATGGATAACTGACATAAGCACTATGTGGGATGGATTGGATCAAACAAGAGAGTGTATGGGACTATGAAAGTATGGAAATGTATAAAGGGCATCTGAGAGGGAGAGGAGACGGGAGACGGTGTAAAAGAAAATAAAGTTGTCTGTCCAAAGTCTAGATGCTAGAGGACATCATGAAGATGGGTTACCATTAGAACATTAAGTTTTCTTAAAGAACCCTCAGATATGGCTTGGAGGTACCATTTAGAGTGTTGTGAAATCTTCATGATATCCTTCAATTGGTCTAAGGTACATTCATTCGTTAGGAAATGAGTCCAAGTACGGACAGTGTGCTCCAAGTTATGTTTAGTATCTAATTTATGGATTAGTATGAGTTGATGGAGTGCAGTTTTCACATCTGTCAATGTAGGAGGTTGGGGGGGAAAGCCAGTCCTGTAGTATATTCTTCTTAACAGCTAGGAGGCAGTAATGTTCCCACTGGGTCAAAGACTTCTCAGAGTCATGTGGGGAAGTGGATGGAGAATGAAACAGGCAAAAAGCTGAGGAACAATCCCTAGGTATCCGATAGTAGGGACATGTATTTAAGTGCAAGTTGCCAAAGAGATTGTATATGTGAGCAGTGCCAAAGGATGTGCACTAAATTAGGGTGTGGAACATGACATTTTGGACATTCAGTAGTTCAAGGGGTGGTAGCGGAGGAGGGGGTGAAGTTCAGAGCATAATACGCTCTGTGTATTATCTTAAATTGTATTTTACGCCGCTGGTCGCAGACTTAAGTAGACGTGACCATCCCTGAAGTAAATGCTGGTAGGTATCTTCTGGTGTTAGGTTTAGTAACTGCACCCATTTAAGACCAAACATAGGTATTGATGAGGAGGAATCATGATATGTAACACCAAAATATGTGCGATAGAGAAATTTTTGCGGAAGGAGAAGTAAAGAGTTGGAGGAAGAATGATCCCATTCCATCTGTGTTGGGGAAGGATAGATGGGATTTCATAAAGTGCTTTATCTGGGAATATTAAATAAAATGTTTAGGGGATAGGTGATAGACGCGTGATAGGTTAATAAATGAAAGACAAAGTCCTTGAGGGTTCAGTAGGTTTTGTAAAGTGTGTATGCCCCTGGTGTGCCATTGAAGGAATGTTTGGGATGTAGAGCGTATGGGAAAAAATAGGAGCGGATACTAGAGGCATATGTGGGGAGACCATGCCCCAAAGGCCATAGATTTTCCTAACTTCCCTCCATGTGATAACGGTGTCCCGCCATGGATGTTTTAGGCAATGACTGAAACATTTGTTCCTTGTTAGAGTTTTTTTTTTTTGTGGAAAAAAGAGAGGTTGCTGATCTGTAGTG